CACTGTCCTTTCAAAGAATGCAGTTCTCTGGAAAGTGGCCAGGATTCTTGAGGAAGGCCAAAAGGAAGAACACAGCGTGCACCTGGGGTGCTACTGAAGAGCCCCTTCATCCGAGGTATTCAAGGCGAGCCACAGGAGATTGCTCAGAGTAGCTCAACTCAAGGCTCCACTTGCCAGACCTGAAGGGCAATTGTTTGCTTGTTTCTGGGCTGTTTTGCTTTGTTTTTGGCAGAACCAGGGATTGAATTCAGGCCCTTAATGAGCCGTCTCCCCGGCCCCTTGCTTCTGTTATTAAGGAGATGTTAGAAGCCTGCCCACTTGGTAGGTCCCATGGGTGTCTTTACTAAAGGCTAAGAGGGCAATAGCCACTTCCCTATTTGGCCTTTTCTAAAGAGACTATCTGTTATTTTGCTCATTGCTGAGACAAAATACCTGACACAAGTTAAAGGATGAAAGGTTTATTTCAGTTCACAGTCTGTAGAGGTTTCAGTCCACAGTCAGCTGGCCCCAAGGGAAGGCAGCACAACAGAGGGCCATCACAAAAGACAGATGGGGCCAGGGAGATGGCTCAGTGGAATAAGTGCTTCCCTGGCAGGTACAAGGGCCTGAGTTCAATCCCCAGTCCCAGGAAAACAAACAAACGAAAACACATACAGACCATAGCATTGCAGGCAGGGAGAAGCATAAGCCAGCCTTCCCCTCCCCATTCATATTCCAGGCTATAAGCCTATGGATTGGTGCCATCCATCCCATTATTCACACCCATTTATTACCACACACCCTTAATCTCAGTGTGACACACCCAAATCCAGCCACGTCTGAAAAGCCCCACCTATGAGTACACGAGGCTTGGAGGGACATCTAGCCACCAGCTGTAACAGACACCTATAGGACAGGCCACGCCGGTTAGCACTTAAGGTTTGAAATCCTGCACAGTCAAGCTCTGCTGCCTGAGATCTCATTTCCCTTGTAACCATGGAACCCGTTTCCAGGACAGCATCTTCCACCTGTTTCCTTGGTCTGTGGAGAACAAGTACCCAATATGTTTCAAAGATGCCCCTTCAGGGCCAGGGAGATGGCTCAGTGGAATAAGCACTTCCCTGGCAAGCACAAGGGCCTGAGTTCAATCCCCGGTTCCACACAAAAAAAAAAAAAAAAAGATGTCCCTTCAATGATGTACTTCTGGGTGTCTTGCTCAAGGAGGAGTCTTCCAGGTTCTACAGAATCAAGTTACCCAGGGAGCAAGGCCACTGTGCCCAAAGAAACCAGAATGAGGGACTATACGGAACAGAGAGGCTCAGGACTGAGCTGTCCCAGCTCAGCTCACCACCTCGTGAACACACTCAAATGGGCAAACACAGACAAGGCCCCCAGAGCTGTGAGGAAAAGCAAATTGTTTTAAGCCACCAAGTGTGGAGTGGCACCATTATTCAGCAACAAACACTTAAAACACTTTGCAGGGTAACTTCCAAAACAAAGTTATTTCAAGGTCTTCAGGCAGGGCTGCCACAGTGTCAGCAGGCAAAGGAACAGGGACTGCAGAACTTAAGAGTGCTGTAGGGGCTGGTGAGATGGCTCAGTGGTCTAAAGCACCTACTTGGAACAAGCTTGGCAAAGCACAGGGACCGCAGTTCGATCCCCCAGCACCACATGCCAGCCAGCCCCACCCCCAGGTGGGCTGAGCTGGCCACACACACACACACACGCACACACACACACATGCACACACACACACACACACACAATAAATAAATAAATGTTTAAAAAAAAAGAGTGCTGTAGACCATTAGGCCCACATGTCTCCAGCCTCAATTTCACCTGAACCCTAACATGCTGTGAATAAAGTGACAAGGTGATTTGGTGGCTGCATCATCCAACTCATAACTCACCCAATGTGCCTAACACTTTCCTCCTACCCTCTTGCCCCTGGTGAGTGTGCCCTCTGACCTACACTAGGATGGATACATGGAGAACTGACATGGGGGAAGAGAGCAGGAGAGCTGGCACTTCCGAGCCTGGGCACTGCACAGGAACAGAGGCTTCCTTATGTTGTAGGAACGAAGCTCCAGGCTGGGGCCTGAGCTCAGCGCTCCCCCAACAGCTGAGACTGAGAACAGCTGTGGTGGACATGCCCAGGTCACACCGAGGGAGAGGAGGAAGGAGGGCAGCAAAACATGTACAGGGTTGAGTGTTTCCACGAGGATGCAGAGGGAACAGCAGCCATACTGCGCAGATGCCCCACAGAGCAGCAGGAGCTCAGAGAAGCCAGGACTATCCCTGAAGAGGTTACAGCTGGCACCTCGGAGAGGGGACCATAACCGGTGTGCAGAGACTGATGGAAACCATATAGAATGCCATTGGTGACTCCCCTATAAACCAAGGGGCAGGACACGTATCACAACCTTCTCCTTCCTCTACAGCCGCCGGCCTTGAGTTCCCATGAGGGCCAGGCTGTCCCCGACCAGCGGGGTGGCTGCATGCTGGTCATTCCACACCAGCTTTCTCACCTGTAATCTGGGACAGTGGTAGCTACTCCTTAGGGAAGCTCTGAGAGCTGATGGGATCATCCATGAAAGTGCCAAGCAAATAGTAGGTGCTCGGTGCTAGGTTAACCCGCAGCTACCCCATTTGCGCCCACATCTGGGGCCCTCTCAGTCCAACAGGGTTCACCATCTCTCTCCACAGCGTTCACAAAAAAAGGCTGTAGGAAGAACGGTGTTTCTTCTAACGGCCTCCAGGCGGCGAGAAGGGATGGGCGGGGACGGGCCCTGGCGGGAGGTCCCCGAGGACCGACCTCTGGCCCCAGCTACTCTCCCCGCTCCTTCAGCCGCCAGCACCGCTGCCCTGGCTTCAGGAGCACCCGACCACTCGCGGCTGAGCGCTGCGGCGCAAGGAGCAAGCGACAACCCTGCGCACGAGGGAGCAGTGAGGCTCAGCTTCCCTTTGTGTGATCTGCGCGACCCCGCCCGGCCCCGCGGCCCCTTCCCACCTGGTGGGGGAGCTAGTGCCCGCCGAACGTCAGAGGCGGTGGCGGCCCTGGTTTGGTCCTGGGGACAGAGGAGGATCTGTATAGTCGGGGAGTTTGAGGCCAGCCTGGGCAACACAGCGAGATCCTCTCAAAACGCAAGGCTTCCCCCTCGCTGGGCTCCTGTGGGGGTTCGGCCTAGGCAGACTGGGTGCCACTCTCCTCAGAGTTGCAGTCAGTTCCTGCCATGCGCTTCGGCCCGCTCAGCCACACCTGCCAGGTATCTTGCCTATAAAAAAAGGATGCACCCCCCCCCCAGCCAAGCTGCTAGGAAACCTGGATAAAATGATGAATGTCCAGTTTTTGACATCCATTAGGAGCCAAACACAAAAAAAAAAATTACTAAAACATCATTCTAAAATGATAGCAAAAAAAGAAATAAATAAAGAAATAATAAAACTGGTAGTGGTGCCGGCTATAATCCCAGCACTTGGGAGGCTGAGACCAGAGAGTCGCCAAAGGTTCAATGCCAACCTGTGCTACACAGGGAGAGCTTCTTTCAGGGAGAAAAAAATCCTTATTCTGACAGAGAAATGCCCACTCACCTTCAAGGCAGCCCGCCTGTGATTTCTCTGGAAGCCTCCCCTCCTCCTCCGGACTCCTGAAACCTGTCCTTCAGCAGCAGCCCTTTCACATTCTCAACAAATGTTCCAGTGCCCTGTACCTGTATGGTGCCCAGTCCATCTGCAGGACAGACGGCTATGAACCAGCATGGTCCCTATTCGCACGCTGCAGTCCTTTTCAGCAGGGAGGCAGACAGAGAAGGCCAAGAGTAAATGGTGTGGATAATGTCATAGGGCTAAAAAGCAAGGAAAAGGGCTGCGGAGACTGCTCAGTGACATAAGCACCTGCCTGGCAAGTGCAAGGTCCTGAGTTCTATCCCCAGTACTAAAAAAAAAAAAAAAAAAAAAAAAAAAAAAAAAAGACAAGGAAAATAAAGAAGCTGAATTGGGAGAGGGGCTTGTTCCATTGGGTGGTAAGAGAAGGTCTGAGATGACAGGAGTCCAGGATGACAAACACCAGCCCTGTCAAGATCTACATGAGCTGCTTGCCAGGTTAAAGGAACAGCTCGCGTAACAGCCCTGAGGCAGGGGAGCAAGCACCTCTTGCGTGACCTCAGAGTGATCCAGACAACGGCAGCACAGTGGGTCCCAAGCATACTGACCACACTACTCTAGATAAAGCCCCTCAAGGGTAGAGATCATTTACTGAGTCCACCGCACAGTATAGATATGGACTCTGGACCAGTTTTGGTAAAACTCCAAAGGGGTGATAAAGGGACTCAGTTGGCCCATATGCAACCCCATCCAAGTCTTGGGGGACTCCACCAAATTGCCTCAGCAGATAGGAAGTCCTTCCCTAGACCAATGACCTCTAGGGCATAGCTGTTAACAAGGAAAATAAAGTGGCCAGAGGGGAAATGAACTGCCCAAGATCACACAGCCTGCACGCAGCAAAGACTGAACTCAAATACGGTCTTCTCTGCCTCACTGGCCCAGATCCTGTCTGGTGCATCCCTCTTTCTTCCTGAGCAATGGTATCTGGAACTTTAAGGACAACGACAGTGCCTGAAGGGAGAGTTGGGTGCTTCCCCACCCCTGCCACAAACCCCGGAACCTCCAGAGAGCAAGGATGCCAATAAATTTGTGATCTCCAAAGCCCAAAGGCAGGCAACATGGTAAGGAGAGACCAAGTTTAAAATGTGGCAGGAAGAGGTCAGCTCACACTGCAAGCCCAGAGGGTGGAGACCAGGGTCGCAGGATCAGGGTGCCCAGGCTGGGGGTCAGGACAGTCACCTGGAGCTGCCAGGGCTATGTCCCTGGGGACCAGCCCCTGAGCCAAGCCCACACCAGTCTGCAGTTAATCCACCAGCATTACAGGGCCTCGTGTGGGCTATCACACTGAAGATTTTGTCTCCTGGGACAAATGATGTGGGCATCTATCTCCTCCCCCAATCTTCTTCCATGCTCCAGCAATCTTTCAATGGAAAAGTTTTATTGAAAAAAATGCTTGTACAAATAAGTTCTCATTTTGACAGCAACAAAGGTTCACATTCCCCTTCCCATCTTTGAAAAACTAAAAAAAAAAAAAAAGGCAAACACAAAACATTCATCCCCTTGATGTTCCATGTAACAATTCTTAACCAGGGTCTGCCCAGGAGCCCCTGCTTCAAGCCAATTTCCCATCCCTGTACTGGGACTAAAGCCGTCCTGGGGGTGTCTGGTCCCAGGGGCAACAGCACCTATTTCAGTTGTGGGAAGCTGGGAGAGGTCTGGGGAGCCAAGAGCCCCAGCTCAATGGTCTCACAGATTTGGAAGCACCTGGTATAAATAGGAACAATGACTGGCTGGGTGAGGAGGGTGGACCTCGGACTGTGAGGACAGAACAGGATCATGGCACAGGTGTCTGGGCTCAGCATCATGGCTTCTGGGGACTCATATCCATGTGGAGTGGACTCTAGCTGGGCAAGTCCACTGGGACACATGGGAACCCTGGTCCTTTTTCCACCCCCACCCATAAAATACCCAAGGCTGGTGCCCTTCCCCAGTAGCACCCATGTGTCTCAGGAGCCTTCAGGTTGCCTCATACTCCAGGGCCCTATAATTCGTCTCGCATCTTGTCACCCTTGGGCCTCACCAGGCGCCCAATGAACAGCAGGGAGCTGCTCTGGGTGTCTCGAACGAGGAAGATGAAGGGGTGGTCAGCATAGAACAGCTTGGGACTGCGCAGCTCCTCCCGCCCATAGATGTCCTGGTCAAAGGGATTGCCCTCTGTGTCCCACTCGAAGGCGGTGGCGTGGAACACGCTGGCCAGGTACAGGTCCTTCTTCCCTGACATGCGCGACAAGTCTGCCTTGTTCTTGTCGATGGCCTCCGTTAGCCCCAGCCCAGCCAGGTGTTTCTGTGGGACCAGACGTCAGGTGAGGTCACAGCTCTCCTCCTCACCTCCTTCCCCCACTACCCTGACTGCTCCTGCACAGGCGCAGCTCCTCCCTGCCCACATACTGTGTGTGGAGCACACTGCTCTCCTCACTCACCACGACCCTCAAGGGCTTTACTTGGGCTTCACAGGGGACAAAGTAGAGACCCAGCAAACCAAGCCAGAATCCATCCCTGCCTGCCCTACAATCCCAGGCTTCCCTCAAGCATACTTCATGCCAGGGGGTCTGTAGGGAGTCACTGTCCTCTCTGAGTCTCTACCCAGCACCCAGGGTGGTATGAGGCGGAGCTTCCCTGAGCACATGTGCCAAGCTCCAGGCCACCGTAAGTGACTCCCTGGTACCAGTCTTCTTAGCACTGGTGAATAACAGCGGTGACTAAGGATGACTTAAAGGCAAGATGTTCCAGTCACTGGCTGAGTGACGTTAGGGAACTTACCTGACCTTTCTAAACCTCGGTTTTCTCATCTGCCAACTAGTTTATAATTGTCCCTAATGAAGCTGTTTTGATTAGGAGAATTAACACATATGGAGTGCTTAGGAGGCTGCCGAGGACACCCGTGTCCCACTGTAGTTAGCTACTGCTGTTACCATCTGCCTAAGGGCAGGGCCCACACCGGTCATCCAGCGTCCCCCCCAGCAGAGAGAGGAGGGGTATGGACGCCTCACCTGCAGGTCGTGGGTCACCTCCACTACACCCTTGGGCAGGGAGATGGCGACAGCTTTCTTCTGCATCTTCCCCAGCCAGACCTTTAGCTGCTCCTTAGTTAGCAGCTTCTCGAGGCGCTCGAGGGGCTCCACGTGGTGGGGCATGAGAATGACGAGGCTGGAGAGCTTGTGGGCCAGGGGCATCTCCAGGATCTGCACCTTTTCCTTCTCGTCGTCATAGTAGTTATAGAGGCCTAGGCAGAGAGCAGGGGACACTGGGTACACTGGGGGGCATATGGGAACCCCACCCTGGCCCCCTGCTCTGCAAGGCACCTACCTGTCCGATGCATCATCGTAACTCCCACAGTATAGGAACGAGTCACCATGAAGCCACGGTTGTCCACCATTTTGTGGTGGAACTTCTCATCCCAGTGCGCTGTATGGGGACAGAGCACTGAGTTAAGAGTTATGTCTCCAGATACAAGCCCAGCCGAGAAACACCCTAACTGCACACCTGCATTCATCTCTGCCACAGGTCTTAGCACCATTCTCTGGGGTTGGGTTGTAGGTGCCACCGCCAAGCACCCAGCCCCTCGGACCACACGTTCCCTGAGGACATGCTATCTTTTTTTTAAAGTGTATTTAATACAGGGTCCACAGGATCTCACTGCACTACACAGATTGGACTCCCAAGTGCTGGGATTTTTTTTTTTTTTTTTTTTTTTTTTTTGCGCTACCGGAGATTGAACTCAGGACCCTGCGCTTGCCAGGCAAGTGCTTATTCTACTGAGCTATCTCTCTGGCCCCTAAAGGAACCTTTTTTGGTTTTATTTTTACTATTTTCTTTTTTGGTACCGGGAATCGAACTCTGGGCCTGGTGCTTGCTAGGCAGGTGCTGCACCACTGAGCTACATCCCCGGCCCGTGCTGGGATTACAGAGGCTCACCACCATGCCCAGTCTCAGTTGCCATCTCAGTGCACCCCGGAGGAAGGGCCAGCACAGCATGCGAGGGATGGAACCACGGTCCCTGCATCTGCCTAAGCAGGCGCTCTAATCCACTGTCTGAGGTGCTATGCTCTTAGCCACTGCCCAGCTGTCCCACAGGACAAGGAATTCATTCTATCTCAGCTCGGCCACCTCTGTGTCCATTACCTGGGCAGTACATGTTACATGCTGGAGAAACACACAGAGCTAGGCTTTCTACTTGACATGGTGAGAGGCGTGTGTCCCCTGGGCTTGGAGCTCCCTACGACCACCTTTCATTCTTCTCTGCAAGTTCGGCTTCTGCGGCCACAAAGATGACCAAAAACAACGTATGTGTGGCAGTGGTCTTGGTCCCGTCCCAATTAGACAAGCATTTCGATTCAGACCCAGCTGCTGACTGGCTGTCAAACCTTCTCCCTCTCTTAGTTTGGCCACATTTGTAAAACAAGTCATGTAACCCTCACAGCAGTGTGAGAGCAGTACCAGCCACACGGGTTCTGAGCACATGCACCAACTCAGATACAGTCTGCAGTTCAATTCTGATGCACTGGGCCTCAGTCCTGAACTTACTGTGCTAAGTGAGCTTCGGCTTCCTTCCCTGTGAAATGAGGGTTAGGCTACCTGCCCCAGGTGCTACTATAAGAAACAGGGGGCTTTCTCCAGCTCTCTGCTGTGGCAGAACTGACCAATGGATTTTACCAATTCCAGCACACACAAGCAACAGTACTTTGATTTGATGAATTATGGCAGTTAGGAGCACCTCTTCTATAATTACTCAGAGGGCTTGGATCCCTGCTCCGTTCCTTCAAACATCTGGTTACCTCTGTAGCTAGCTTCTAGGGTGTACAAAGGATTTAGTACCAGTCCTCCCTCTGAAGGCTGTTGTATTTAATAAGAACAGTGAAGAATTCAATATGGGAAAGGTTTAAGGGATCCTGAGAAAAGAGACCTGCCCGGTCTTGGACTCACGCTTGAAGAACATGGCATTGACCAGCAGGGCGCCGTCAGTGCGCTCCACATCCTTGGTGACCTCGGGCAGCTTGCCGTCGGTGGTCTGCGCTGCCCACTCATTGATGGACTGCAGGGCGCTGCGCTTGTCCCGGAAGTTGATCTTGGAGTGCTCGCAGTTGTAGTGCTGCTTGCTGCTGCGCACAAAGTCGTCCGCGAAGCTCACCGAGCTGGGGCCATACAGGCGGCTGCCCAGCTTCCAGGTCACGTTGCGTGCGGTCGAGTTGCTAAGTGACCGCAGCAGCTCGCCCAGGCCCGCGTGCACCTCCTCGTCGCGCAGCTGCTCCGCGCTCAGCACCGCCTTGGCCTGTGACGCGGTGGCTGCCTTGCCCCCTAGTGACACCAGCCCCAGCGAGGAGGCCACCACCACCGGGGACAGCAAGATGTTTTCTACCGCCTGGTCCTTGGCCATGGCCTGGTACAGGCTGAAGGCCAAGCCGGCACTGCGCTCAGCCAGTGTGGCCGCCTTGGGGCTCAGCTTCTCTGCTGTGCCAGGAGCGGCCGCGGCTGCAGGTTTCTTCACCTCGGCCGCCAGGGCCGCTGCCAGGAGGCCAAAGGTACCAAGTAGCAGGAGGTAGCGCATGGCGTGGAGGTGAGCTGTGAGCACCACACGGGACCTGTAATAGGAACAGAGCGGCCCTGAATGTGCCTTCCTCTCCAGCCACCAACTCCTACCTTCTGGCTGCCACCAAATCCCCTGCAAGAGCACAGAGCTCTGGAGGTGCAGGCATAACTCAGGACTGCCCAGGCTCCCTAATGAAAGCAGGGTTCCCAGCAGATCACCCTGCGCACATGCAACACTTACACTTACTTGGCTGTTTAAATCTGTTTGGGGGCTGGTGAGATGGCTCAGTGGTCTAAAGCACCTACTTAGAACAAGCTTAGCAAAAACAAAGGGACCAGGGCTGGAGAGATGGCTCAGTGGTCTAAAGCACCTACTTGAAACAAGCTTGGCAAGCACAGGGACCGCGGTTCGATCCCCAGCACCACATGCCAGCCAGACCCGCCCCCTGGTGGGCTGAGCTGGCCACACACACACACACACACACACACACACACAATAAATAAATGTAATAAATAAAAATAAATATTAAAAAAAAAAAAACAAAGGGACCGCGGGTTCAATCCCCCAGCACATGCCCCGCCACCTGGTGGGCTAAGCTGGCCACACACACACACACACACACACACACACAAATAAATAAATAAAACAAATAAAAAATAAAAAAATAAATCTGTTTGGGCCCTAAGTAGGGTGTGGCCTCCAGGCCTCAATAATCTGGTTGGCCACTTGGCCAGGCCAGGTGTCCTCATCTGTTATACAGAGTTCAGCTCTGATCTCGCACAACCTTTGGAGCCCTTCTCCAATGAGAAAAAGCCTCAGCTGAGCTGAGGTGTGCAGGAATCCCAGGTGCGCAAGCAAAGGATGTCACTTAGGACACGCCCACAGGCATGTGCCCCACCCCACCCCCCCACCCCCAACACACATCTCTCATACGGTTCTGGGATGTTAATGAGTCACTCATTAATTGGGAGAGCTCAGAGGCTCCACTCCTCTGCCCCTAGGGTGATCGCACGCGCTGTTGTGTGTGTGTGTGTGTGTGTGTGTCCCATTCACTGGCTGTGCACTGCAGTCTTCCTTTGGCAAGCTCCAAGGGTCTCTGTGCCTAAGGATTTAATTTGCACATCCGTGCTCAGGCCCTGGACCAAAAGGGAAATCCCAGGACAACAGGAGGGGACAGGGGCTTCCTGAGAGCAGCTTGGTCAGGATCCTGGAGAGGAGTCACGGTTCTACAGAAGAATGGCCCCTGCCCCCATCACCACAGCTGCTCAGACGTTGGGTTCACCCTTCTGGAAGTTGCAGCCACCCTAGTGCCTACTCTGTCCTGTGTCTTACACCCACTGCCACACAGGCAGTCTGCTCTCTGGTCTCAAGGTTGCCTTGTTTTCTCCCTCTCTTCTTCATGCTGCAGGAAAAGGACAGGACTAGACAGAAGGAAAAGTCCTGGTGGAAGCCCAGACTCCACTGCTCTGGGAGGCCAAATTCATGGCCTTATGCTCCACAAGAAAAACTGAAAATTCAAAATCCTGGGGCTGAGGAGATGGCTCAGTGGGATAAGCGCTTCCCTGGCAAGCGCAAGGGCCTGAGTTCAATCCCTGGTTCTGAAAAGAAAAAAAAAAAAAAAAAAAAAAAAAAAAAAAAATCAAAATCCTGGTGGGAAATCCTGGGGACTCTGCCTGCTGAGGGACAGCACTGGACTCCTGGAAGATTCTACAGCTGGTGTCCTGTAAGACAGGACCTTTCACCTCCCTGCACTGCTGCCCTCCCCAGGCCCTTGAAGGTGCAGTGCAGAGAAGAGGCTCAAGGAGATGAGGGTCCCGAGACCCAGGAGGTCCCCGCTCACTCCCTTCCTGGCGCTGGCTCCTTCCCCACCAGACCACGGGCTGCAAAGGCAAAGTGACCACACCATTTAGGCAATAGGCATATGGCCACAGTTCTAAAAGGCTGTCTCTAATCCAGACAATCAGTGGTAGAGCTCAGGCAGGCTGAAGAAGCCACAGGCACAGCCTTCCTTACAGGGCAGTGAAGGAACCAGGCTGCCACGTGGCAGCCACCATCTCGACAGCCCCTGCCCCCAGCCACCAGAACCTCAAAGGCTGGGAGGGGCTTCCCAAAAAGGCTCCAGATGACTAGTTTGGGTTTCTCTGACAGCCTAGCAGCTCTTGCTCCCTGGGATGGTGACGTGGCAGGCAGGAGGCTGAATTATCTCTAGGCCAGCAGAGGGGGGCGTCCAGGCTGGGAGTCAAGAAGCCTGGACTCAGGTTCTAAAGGTGCCACGGATTTTCTAGGGACTCCAGGAACCTCCCTGGCCTGTTTTGCTTCTGCACTTCTGTCTCTGAAGGGAAAGGCAAGGCCCTGCTTCTGAGATGGGAATGACAAGTCTCAGCAAGCCAGGCGGCCTCCTGCAGCCCAGCCCATCTTGCCAGGGGGAAATGCCAGCCCTAAGGCTCAAGTGAGATATGTACAGCCTCAGGAAGAAACACAGAAGGTTACTTGACAGAGCTGGACTGAGCTAAGTTGTAAGGAGAGGCGGTGCTGGGACCACCCGGGTCTCCAACACTCGAGGAGTCTAAAGTACCTTGAAACTGCCTCAGAGGATAGTCAATGCCTGCCTTTTTCATTCTGAAAGAAAAGAGAAAAATAAGGAGGCTAGGAACCCCAGAGAAGGCGGGGAGCAGGGGCTTGCCAGGACCAGCCCCCAAGCGGCACCCATCTCCGGATCTACTGGGTCGTGGGAAGCCAAATTTCAGTTGGTCCAGTGGGAGAAACCAAGCCCCAGGCTGGGTTCACCGCCGTCCCACAGGGACAAGCAAGAAGGAACTCAGAGCCCCCCAGAGCGCGGCGTGTGGTGTCCTGTTACACAACTAGAACACACAAAAATCTCCGCCGGGAATCCTACGGAGCAGAGACAAAAGAGGGGACAGGAAGGGGGGATGGGCACAGGAACCATCTGAAAGCAGGAGGGCGTGGTCCCAATCAAACTTCCAGGCAGCCAAAGCCCCCAGTTTTCCCCCAGATCTCCCGCTGGGCCCTGCAGCCCAGCAGGAAACCCGGGAAGAGGAGGGGCCCGGTCTTCGGGCGAGGCTGGAGTGCTCCGGCTCGCCTACTTCAAGAGCCTCAGGAATTTCCCTGCGCCGAAGGTGGGGAGGCCTAACACGGTGCTTCCTCAGGGACAGAGGAGTAAGTGGGCAGAATAGCAGGCGACTCGAGGCTCTCCGGTCCAGCCCTTCCCCCCGGCAGTGCAGACCCTTGAGGGTCTGAAGACCCTGAAGCCCTTCCTGCAGCTGCCAGGCACTGCAGATCAAAAAGGCAGCCAGTGGAAACGTCTCCCCAGCACAGGGACCTAAAAAGCCAAGCGCCCACCCCAGCAAAGGCCAGCAGGACTTCACCTCTCAGATGACCCTCATCAAGGTCCAGAGGCCGGGACACCAATCCATCAGTGGGCCTCCAGCTCCAAGCGCAAAGCTGGCCGGCCCAGGCCCTGCCCCTGCCCGGCGTTCTCCGCCAGCACCAGCCTTTTGCTTAACTTCTAGGGGCTCTGCACTTTCTGCAGCCGCTCCACCACCCAGACTCTCGCTGGGGCCTGCTCTCGGTCCCGGTCCTCAGACTCCATCACCGTCCAGAGCCCCGATGCTGAACACCCCCCCCAACTGCTCCCCAAAGCGAGGACTCCAGTTTATGGGCCCTAACCCCTCCTGGGGTCATCGGCCAGACTCACACGCCGGCCGCCCCCAGGCTGCCCCAGCCCCTCACCTGAACCCCCACGCCAGCCACTCTCTGGAGCTCCGGACGAGCCTCTACTCTCCGTCTGCTGGCCCTGCTCGGGTTCTATATATGGATCTCCCCACCCACTCTTGCCCGACCCGAGAAACTTCTGGAAAGTTGGAAAGGCTTCCGGAGGGCGCCCCAGCTCTGCGAAAAAAGAAAAAAAAAAAAAAAAAAAGAGCCAAGGACTTCCTCCCCCAAGCCGCCCCGCCCCGACTCCCGCCCCGACTCCCGCCCCGACTCCCGCCCCTCTGCTTGCACTCCCGTCCCTGGGTCCTACTGCCCCAATTTCAAGGACGGGGCTGGCTGCGGTGGGACTAACCAGTGGGACCAACTAGTCCTTCCCAGGGTGCACAGGCATCTTTTAATTCAACGGAGCCTCGGTACCCCGCTGTCCTGGAGGTATTGCGAGGAGAGGACACAGTGTTCCTATGTACAGCATACACCCCTGCCCAGACCTCTGTGCAAGTCAACCCACTCCTGGGGGCACACTTCTGGCACGCCTTTCCTTGCTCTGTCTTAAGGACATCAGCATCCTCCACTCCCGTTCACAAATCTCCACCATTTTCTGGCTGAAGCTTAACTGGGTTTCCCATACCCTCTCCTCAGTCCTCTCCTTTTCTCAGAGGAGGTGGGCAAATCTAGGAGTCAGTATCCTTGTCCAGTCTGGGATGGGAGTGAGGAATGGGTCACTACAAACCTCACCCTCAGTTGAATTAGACCAGTGATGACCCTGAGAAAGAGAGTTTGGGCCAGATGCAGAACCAGCCCTCACCCCTGAAAGCCGGCATCACCATGTATTAGGGCTGCAGACACCAGGGAATGTCAGGGATAGGGGTTGGGCTGGGAGAGGTGCACAGGAAGGAAACCCTGGCTATATATGAAGTGCTCTGTTCTGTGATTCAGACCAGTGACCTTCACTTTTTGGGCCTCAGTGACCTTGACTGAAATGTAGTGATGAGTCATTCCTGGATTCCTCCTCCAGTTCCCTTCTCCTCTCCCCTTCTCCCTCAAATTGGGCATCCCTGCCCCATCCCACCCCTGCTCTGAACTCAGTGGGGGTGGGGTAGGGGTGTATTCCTTATTGTTCTAGAGGCTGATGGTACAGCTGAGCTCTGGACAAGTCCCATGACAGCGCTGTGCATATTCATAGAGAACTCCGGAAGGTGGATTGCTTAGGGACACCCCCTCCTATCTTCAACAGTGAAATGATCAATACAAGGTGGGCACAGTATGGAGCAAGGACAGGTTGGAGAGATCCTTCATTCACTTGTTCATTCATCCAATCAGCAGACTGTGCTAAGCCTGACTGGATCCTGGGGAGCAAATCGGTCCCAGCACCCAGCAAATGAATCCTCTGGGTTCTGGCATCTCAGTCAGTTGCAGGGGTGGGAATTCCACCACCCCAGCCTGGTGACTAAACTTCTCAGTCTGCCACTACTCAGACTACTAATTATAAGGACTATGGGAAATCTCAGATCCCAGAAGGTCTGAATCCGGAATGAGAGATTACTTAAATCCTAAACGGACCGTCAGAGAATATGCTGACCTAACACTTGAAGCTTCATCAATTCCTAAGTAAAGAGCCCATTAGAATATTAGTTGCAGGGGCTGGTGAGATGGCTCAGTGGTCTAAAGCACCTACTTAGAACAAGCTTAGCAAAGCATCAGGGACCAAGGTTCAATCCCCCAGCACCATATGCCAGCCAGCTGCCCCCTGGTGGGCTGAGCTGGCCACACACACACACACACACACACACACACACACACACACACATAAATGAAAAATTTTTTAAAAAATCAGTTGCAGGACCTTTAGAGCAAGGACCATACTGTCTTGAGAAGCACCACAGTGCTCTGGGGAGAAGCTTGACCATTAGTAGTGGTAGTGTCCATACCCTTGTGGTGGTTCTTGCATACTTGTGAGACTGCCATTGTGTCCTCCTCTGTGTGCATGCTACCAGGGATCAAATGGGGTGTGGGGCACTCCACCAATGAACTACATCCCCAGCCTTTCCTACCTAAAGACAGGGTCTCCCTAAATTGTCTGGGGTATTCAAACTTTGCAAACCTGCTGCCTCAGCCTCCCTAAATTCTGGAGTTACAGACCTGCATCCCTCCCCTCCCCCAGTTTGTGTATTGCTTTTACAGATAAATCCTTGCTATGTAAGGTCACTGCCCAGGTCCTGGGCCAGATTCCACCCTTCTCCCCATCCTCACTTTGAGCCTCCTTGTAGCTTAAGAGGGCCGGTCAGAGCTGCTGCAGTGTGGGAGAGGTTAGCCTTGGTTTCCAACCGGTTTAGAGGCCAAATCCCACAAGTACTTTTCTTCCAGTGTACTGTTAGATCTCTCAACTCTCTTAGTCCTCCCAACTTTTGCCGAGGAAGCTGAGAGGGCTACGAATTTACTGTTTTGCAGAGAAGTAAACAGGTTTGTGTTAGAGCTTTAGAAAGTCAGGGCAGGAGATATAGCTCAGAGGCACAGTGCCTGCCTAGCAAGCACAAGATCCTGAATTCCATTCCCAGTATAGAAAAAAAAAAAAACCCTAGAAGGTGAAGAACAGAGGGGACCAGTGTCCCCCACTTTCTTTTTTTCTTTTTCTTTTCTTTTTTTTTTTTTTCAGAACCAGGGATTAAACTCAGACCCTTGTGTTTGCCAGGCAAGCGCTTATTGTACTGAGCTATCTCCCTGGCCCCTGGCCCCCACTTTCATACAGGAAAGCTGAGGCCAGAGAAAGCAGCTGAGTCTGAGCTTTCTCTCAGCTCCCAGAGCCCTGGTGTAGCTCACCAGACGGACTCCCTACCCCCCACCATGGCGTACCAGGCAGCATTGTCCCCTGGGATTGTCCGTCCTTGCTGGACAATGTGGAAGGTGGGCTTAGCCCTGAGTTCCCAGCTCCTAGCCCAGGGCCAGGCTCATGGGGGCATTTAGTAAATAGCTATCCAGGGAGTAAGCAGTACAAGTGCAGGCTCAGTCTACGGCTCTCCAAGTGCGGCCTCCCCAAGGAAAGAAAAGCCACGGCTCCTTTAAATTTCCAGCATCAGCAAAAATGTGGAGAGCCTTCGGCACATTATTCTTAGCCCGGAGCCCAGCCCAGGCAGCTGAGTGTGGCCCTTCCCCCACATTCCAGGCCCTGCTTTCTGGAAAAAGTAATCAGTTAGAAGGGGATGGGAGCTCAGAAATGCCCAGAAAGTTTCAAGCCTTTCTTGTTTGGATCTTCCAGAGCCTGCAGATGCATTCCCACCACCCTGTACTTGGGAGCACAGCTGGAAGAGCCCCAGGAGGTGTGAACACAGGAAATACTCGAAAGCCAAGTCCAACTGCGTTCACCCTGGACAAAGAGGGAAAATGAGGCCCAGCATGAGACAGGAATTTGCCCAGAGTCACCACACAGCAAATCAGAAATGGTGCTATGCCAGATGCTGTGTCCCAGGTCTAGTCCTGTTCCCTCTGGCCCCGGTTCTGCCCAGAGGCCAGATTCACTCAGTCCTCCCCTATGGAATCCTAGGGCAGAAGCTACGTCATGCAAGTGTCCTGGCTGTCCACATTTATTATCATTCTAGATCCTTCCAGGGAAGTAATGAGGTTTCCATTTTGTTTATTTACTTACCAATTTATTGTTTTTTTAGTACTGGAGTTTGAAGCCAGAGCCTTACATACTTCCCAGCACTTTTTATTTTTATTTATTTTTTATTCTAAGACAGGGCCTCACTAAGTGACCCTCATAGGCCGTCAACTTTTGATCCTTTTGCTTCAGCCTCCAGAGTAACTATGGAACTACAAACCTGTATGTCCCTGTGCATGGCTAGGAATTTTTTAATGGTACTATGGATTAATCCCCAGGGCCTTTGGACTAAGCTGCAGCCTCAGTGTTTTTGTTGTTCTTGTTCATTTTCTTTATCCTTTCTTTCTTTTTTTTTTTTTTTTTTTTGAGATAAGATCTCACTAAGTTACCCACACTACTTGAATTTATAACCTTCCTGCCTCGACCTCCCGGAACGTGTGCCAGGAAGCCTGGGTGAATGCTCCTTTTTTAAATGTGAAGAGATAAATCTGTTGGGACTTTGGCAACTCTTAGAGGTGGACTAAAATGCCTTTTGCACAAAGGGATGTGCATGAAACTTTGGAGGTCAGGGCGGAATGTTATGGTTTGTGTCTAGGTGTCCCCTTGAAAGCCTCATGCAGTCATGGGGCGGCTTCCGGAGTTTGTGATTGATTATTGTGCGTGTGGATGTTGCACCTGCCCTGGGGCAGGTAATTTGCATTTCAGTGTAGGGAGGGAAGAGGAGCTGGCTTCCAGAGCTGTGGGCCCTGTTTGCTTACTCTGCTCTTTGCCACCGCCGTGAAAGGTTCCTCTCTGCCGTGTGCCACTCTGCCTTGAAGCCAGCTCAGTATGGACAGAAACCTCCAGTAACTGTAAGCTAAATAAACCTTTCCTTCCTTCTTTTAAAAAAAAAAAAAAAGTGAAAAGATAGAATAAGGGAGACCGTGAGTCACATAGAAAATTGGAGGGGCCGAGGCGATGGCTCAGTAGAATAAATGTCTTCCTGGCAAGCACAAGGGCCTGAGTTCAATCCCCAGTTCCCCCCCCAAAAAAAATAAATAAATAATTGGAGTCAGAGCCAGGGTTGGAACCAGGTCAATTGGTGTCATATCCATGGGAAAGACCAGTGAGCAGAGGAGAGAGGTAACATTTATGGAGGACTTCGCTGCTCTGGCCCTGTCCTGTGCACCCTTGACAGTGTATCACTTTTAATTATATGACATTAGTTGGAAAAAGCTTAATCCCGTTTTTTTTACATGGGATAAAGGGGGGTCCGAGAGGCTCCAACAACCAATCTAGGTTGTCGTGG